AATTAAGAATACAGAAATAGGGGTATAGTTATAAGGTATAGATATAAGGTATAGTTATAAGGGGTACAGTTGTAAGGGTATATATATAAGGGTATAGCTATTAGGATGTAGTATTAAGGGCATAGTTATACTGGTATGGTTATAAAGGTATAGATATAAGGATATGGATGTAAGAATATGGAAATAGGGATACAGAGATAAGGGAAATGCCAACGATAAACCATTTAAATAATGGAACACCTTATACGTAGGACAGAACCTTTTTTGAAGAAAAATCGGATATGGTTTCGTTATTTCTTTACTGAAACTTTTTTTCAGTCAGAACCTTTTTTGAGGGTTCTGCGTTTTACCCGATAGCAGAACCCATAAAAAGGTTCTGCAAAACTCCTTTTTTATTCTCAGAGTAGAGAGACCATTTGTTACGTATGTTGATTTTTTTCCTATCTGTGAAAAAGTAAAAATTTGTTTTGTTGAAGTCAATAGTGGTACTTAAAAAAGGTTCTCTTGCCTTGTCTTTATAAATATGAATTGTGAACATACCTTTACTAGCGATAAAAAAATCAGCTCCTTTGCTCGAGCCATAATCGAGATATTCAATTTTTTTTCTTTCAGTCCCGTTACTTATGGGACACCCTGTATATATATATATAGAAACAGTGGCCGACACTCGACAGTGGGAAAAAACCAATCGATCTTTGTTTTCATTTCTCTTTCATCAATGCGATATAGTGCTGAAGGCACAATAGAATGGAAAGAAAGTAGTTTGACTCATGCGCATTTGAATAGATTTTTTCTTATTCGTGGCATATACGAGTGAAATAATGTTTCTTTCTTTTCCTTGCAATGTGTCTGGGTTTTTTTGAATAAAATCAGTCTTGGTATAAATATCCAATAGAAAAATAAAATCTAATGGAACTTATTAAAATCTTTGTTGTATTGACGAACTCTATTTTTTTAGATAAACTAACCACATCAAATGAATGATATTCGACTCATTTCAGTCGTAGATTATTTACGACTTTCAAAGTCAAATGTTCACGAGGAACATCTCACAAAGATACGAGATATCTATCGGAGTGTATTACATTTGTCAGCGGATACTCCAGTACCACAGAACCCAAATGAGGAGGCAATTAAAGAAGTAGCTCGTCAGCTTGGTCTTTCTACCGATACAGATGAGGATCGTGAATACCTGGATGAGTGTGTCAGATACCAAGACATCAGTGATTCTATCACGGTTGTCATAACAAAATTAGCTGGTGACGTAAAACCGATCGATGATTTCATATTTGAACCAGTCCATCCTCCTGCTTCTTCTTCTCTTCCTTCTCTTCTTCCTCCTCAAGCTCGACCAACACCATATCTTGGACAATATGCACCACATGTTGCGCAAGAACCAATAGCTATTACTGATATTGATTGTTTATTAACTTTTAAAATATTAAATGATGAAATACAACAATTTATCCATTCATTTCTATTACAAGATATCAAACTACTGCATAGGCGAACCATTACGTAAGAATTACCATATAATTCTTTCATAACGTTGTTTGATGAAATTTCACAATAATATTCTTGTTTTACTTTTAGTGAATCAATAGCAAGGTGCATCCGTTTTGGTGAACAATTTTATCTTGAAAAGAATTGTCTGATCAATCTATTTATACGACAGAAATTACACGATCGTGATATTCTCACATCATCAAGCAACCATCGAAACTCGGACTGTTTTCGTTTGATCGAATCTGTGAGTTTGACCGATGATTTTGGAACATGGCAATACGATCATTGGCGTGATGTCCTCGATTTAAAATTGTCACCTCATGGAACTAATACTCGATTTCCTGCTAGATGGAAATTAGCCGATGACGCACGCATTCATTGTCTCATAACTAATGATGATTTCACAAGAACAGAATCATCGTCATCCTATAATACAAGACCACGCACAGCATCACTCAATGTATTTGTGCATGATGTATGTATGCATGAAAATAACGGTCAAGAAGATATATGGCTGCGTGACTTGTATAAAGAAGATATACGCACATTTGAACATTTAGCCAATTTACGACAATCGGAATGGGACAACATCCGTGCATTATCGATGAATGCTAGGAAAACATTAAAAGCAGCTGTTGATCGTATACGAGAAACTATGGCTGATGAACGATATCAACATATATCATATGATTCAGATCAAGACGATGACAACGACATGATCGACAACAGTACAGGTAAATGTTTAAACTTTATTAAGAAAAAAGAATAGCGAATAATGTATTTGTTATAGAGAATGTATCTTATTCAGGCTCAGAATTACTAGCCAATCTTCACTTAATAAAACTTTTTATGTGTTATACATTACGTGAAAAACGAGCTTTGAGACAGCTTGGTATATTATCCAAACTCGAGGCAAATTGTTTAGATAAAGTGTTTGATGAGATGCGGAAAGAAGGTTTTGCTGATGATGGTCTCTTTGACAAAATGGCGGAATTCTTTCTTCCACTAACTATATCTGAGCAAGAATTATGCATAGAACGTGGACTGGACACACAGAAACGTCAAACATTAAAGAAAAATCAGGAACAATTAATCATTGACATCAATAAAAAAACGAACGACATTGATGAACAAAAGAGAATTTTTTGGACATATGACGATCAAATAAATTTATTAGAAAAGAGTTTGAATGATGTCCGAGACAATTATTTTCATAAGCGATTAACGATGATTCCAGGACGTGGTGATGGACAACAGCAACAAGAAGCACAAGCACTACAACAACTTGACAGAAAATGGCATCAACAAGAAGGTGAACTGGCTAGGAAGATTAACGAGACAAATAAACTGAAAAAAGATCTTGGAAAAGTTATCGAGGATTTGGAGATAGAACTTGACAACAGCAGTGCACGTTTGAAAAATATAGAGATAGAACTTGCTGCTGCTCCTAAGTATGTTGATAAACAACTTGTTAAGCCTGCTCGGGGACTTATTATGTACGGACCACCTGGTAAGTTTTCATAAAATAAAAAAGAATTTTTCAATTATTTATCTTTCTCACAAAAAAAAGGCACAGGAAAATCTGAAATTATGAGTAAATTAGCCGTGAAATTAGGCATTGTAATGGTCGGTCCACCATTAGCAGCTGGCGAGTTAAATCGCCCACTTGTTGGAGAAAGTGAACGAGTATTGATTGCTTTATGTCAAAGATGTTATCGGATTCCGTATGCCATGTGTTGCATATCAATCGATGAAATAGATTCATTAGCACCAAAACGTGATGAAGATTCCAGTGAAGGCAAAGTTGACAAGATCTCTGTGCTTTTATCACTAATCGAAGGGATTAAAGATGTTCCAAATCTAATGATTTTATGTGCAACAAATAGATTACATATGATGGACGAAGCATTTTTACGTCGAATGTCTGGAAAATTTTTTGTCGGAAGACCATCATCAAATGCACGTATCACTATTCTTAAAAGTATACCAGATTGTGCTTTGGAACCTGAAATCCTTGATCATCTATCAGTTGCTACAACTAACTTTAGTGGAGCAGCTGTCAGGTAATTATTCTTTCGGCTAATTATGAAAAAAAGAATGATTTCTTGCATTACGATAGAGCACTGACTCGAAGTATTACTGTAAAATGTATTGCTGAACGACGTACCAATAGAAATTATCAAGTAAATTATGTTGAAGCACTAGAAATAGTTGATCGTACTGCTCAACAATATCAAATTTTGTTTGGCAGCGAAACATTACCACGGCTTCTGTTACGTAATTTGCTCAGTGGTTCTCCTTTTCACATTCATCGATTAACAAATAATTCTATCTATACTGGACGAATTGTAGTAGATTTATATAGTAGTTATGTACGAATTGAAGTACGTAAACGACGTGCCAATCCAACAAATCATCATTTATCAATCATCGAACATGAACTTCATCCAACTGAGATAAATGTTCAAACATTACTCGAACGATTGACTTCCTATGGAAAAAATAGAAACGTACAATTACTTCAGTTAGTCGATTTGAATTTACTAGCTTCACAAGGTGCTTATGACGAGAAAAAAGTTTTTGAAACATTAAAGGATCGTTTTGATGAATGTGTTGCTTATACTCGTTCAATGATTGTCTATGATCTCGATGCCTTAGTTGGTGTCAATAAATCTGAATCGGATTCGAGTATGGGTCGATCGACTTCATCATCTGTTGTTAATCAAAGTATTTATACTTATGTACGTGCAAGATTTCGTGATTGTGCTATTGAATATGACCAAGGTAAATCTAAAGACAAAATTGAACGATGGGCTGTGGTTGTTATTCGTGAACCATTTTTATTGCGACAATTTTGTACTGATGTTCAATTCGCTCGTACTCCTAAGGAAGAACAGGAACTCGAATTGGAACGACGTAAAGCAGAAGATCAAATAAAATGCATGAAATGCAAAGATTTTTATATTGAAAATGAAAATAAAATGGGTAAAGCTTTTTTTTTCTTTTTAAATGATTTTTCTACGTGAATAGACTATTCTAGGTAATTGTGTTCATCATGATGGATTTATATATGATAATTCAGCGGCCGATTTAACAAAATATACTCAAAGTCAAGCAATGATGTTATTAAGCAAACTTGAAAGTGATCTTATCAATGATGATGAACGACGTGACGAACTCGAACGACAAAAAACTAAATTTAAATGGATCTGTTGTGATGCAGTGCTCGTTAGTGGAAATATTGCTGGTTGTAAAAAAGGAAAACATGGCTTCAATGTTAACGACAATGACAATCCACCACAACGACAACTTGATGATACTATAGTTGGTGACTTGACTCAAGCCACTATTCAGCAATGGGAAGAAGCTTGTTCTCTTAACGAAGAATATAATGACAAATGGCTTTTCTTATTACAAAATCGTGGTTAATGCTAAATATTTTAATACTTGTTATTTTTTTTCCTTGCAAAAAAAATGGAGAAATACATCGAAATCTCATGACTTAAGCTTTTGAATTTAAAGAGATAAACATCTGAAGAAAATATTTATTCCAATTTTCAGTCTCGTCTCAGATATCAATAGATTGTAGTTAAAATTCGACATATAGGGTGTGGATGTATGGCTCGGAGTGTGGGTATGGGTACACCCTAGTCGAACACCTTGTAAGCAAGATCTTGAAATCTTGGGATCGGTAAGCAAGATCTTATCAAGATCTTGAAAAGATATCATTTACTATTATCTTCTCACAAGATCTTGAGTAAAACAAAAAGCGACATCATTAGTGTATTTATTACGTGCTGACTAGTCATTCACCGCTTTTTTATGCATACATAGCGGTATATAAGCAATATGATTGAACATCCAAGACATAAATTTTGAAAATAATTTTTTTTCTAAATTATTTCTCGACTAATGATAATTCGAGAAAATGCTGATCTCGATCGATGATCGAGAGAGGACTACTCTGAAGTGGTCTGTTGGAGATCGGGCCAATTCAAGGCCAGTCAGATCCCAGCATCTGACTTGCCGGGATTATGCGTGACCTG